TATCTTCCAGTCCATCTCCTCACTAATGCAAGCCTGATTGTTCTCTGCTGTCTTCAGTAGTGGTCCGAATGTCCCAAGCAATGGGGCTTCCGTCCTTTCCCTTGGAGACTGCTCCCCAACCCAGTAAAACTTCCTGACAGAGAGGCTTCCTTGACGTTCATCTTACATTTTCCCTTGCTTAATTTCTTCTTGTTACCACTTACACTACAGCATATCACCCTAAATAATGTCCTCCTTGGTGCAGTCTGTTGTGCCATCCCCTCACTCTGGCCCTATAATGAGCAGTGTGTGTCTGGAGCCTCCTGAGGAGACCAGTTGGCTCTATGAAGGCACCCCCCGTGGAGCTTGTTGGAGGGTCCAGGACTCAAGTTGTCTCTTAACCAGTCTATATATTTAACTCTTAATTTTCATCCTGCATTGTCCTGGCGTCCACTGAACATTTCTATTGCTCTAGGAAATCTTTCCAGTTCGTCATTAATTTTTATGCTGACATGGTGCTCAGAACTGAATACAGCACTGCCGGAGGGTGGTCACAACAGAGTCATGTATTTCCTTCATGTCCCATGAATCGATGCAACTGTATATTCAACCCAAAATGTCCTTATTCCATTTTTGTTTCTGTTCGCTATTATATCTCATTGGACATACCTTTTAATTTCTTCTGTTCCTAGGTCTCCTTCATTGTTGTTTGCCGGGCTCCCCCTCCTACTGACTGTACGTTGTAGATTAACATTCTCCAGATGGAGCAGCATGAATCTTCCCTAACTGAATCTCGCTTTGCTCTGTTCTGCCCATCTCCCTGACTCTCTCTGAAGTAGTTCTTGTGGCACCTTAGAGACTAACAAATTTATTAGAGCATAAGCTTTCGTGGGCTACAGCCCACTTCTTCGGATGCATATAGAGTGGAATAAATATTGAGGAGATATATATACACACAGACAGAGAGCATGAACAGGTGGGAGTTGTCTTACCAACTCTGAGAGGCCAATTAAGTAGGAGGGG